CCCCTGCCCCCGACCCCCAGCAGGGCCTTGGAGGACAAACCCCCCCCTCCGCCTCCTCCAGTGGGCAACAGGCCCTCCATCCACAGGGAAGCGGTCCCACCGCCTCCCCCTCAGAACAGCAAGCCCCCCGTGCCTTCTACCCCGAGGCCTTCCTCCTCCTCACAGGCCCCACCTCCACCGCCGCCACCAAGCAGGCCCGGCCCTCCTCCCCTGCCTCCAGGTTCCAGTGGCACTGATGAAACCCCAAGACTCCCACAGAGGAATTTGTCCCTTACGCCGTCTACAACCCCCTTACCTTCACCGGGACGATCAGGCCCTCTTCCTCCCCCGCCCAGTGAGAGACCCCCTCCTCCGGTGAGGGACCCACCGGGCAGATCAGGTATGTCACACCGGGGTGGAGTATGTCTTCCTACAGCCCAGCCTGTTCCGTGTCACTAATCATCATATAAGCAAAGGGAGTTTGACAGAAGCTTAAGTAAACTCTCAGACTGCTCTAATCTCTTAAGTGACACTTACTGTGGCTGACTTCACCCCGACCTCATGTGAGCCTCTGAGGAAAGTGGGATTACAATTTCTGTCTGCATTTTAGAGATGAAGAGACTAACTTTTTTTTTTTAAGATTTTATTTATTTATTTGAGAGAGAGGGAGAAAGATTATGAGTAAGTGGGGTGGGGAAGAGCAGAGCGAGAGGGAGAAGCAGACTCCCCACTGAACAAGGAGCCCAACTGTGGAACTCGATCCCAGAACCCTGGAATCACGACCTGAGCCGAAGGCAGACGCTTAACCTACTGAGACACCCAGACACCCTGACTAACTTATAAAGGCAAATGATCACCAGCTAGTTAATAAGAGACCAGAACTTTCACCTCCAATTCTGAAATGTGCTCGCCACGCTACTGCTCTGACTTCCCTAAAGTGAATATCAGCTGTCTTAATTGGGGAACTAAATTCGCGTCTCCTGTAAGAGCATCCATTATTCCAACAAGAAGGGTAGCTATCTAAGAGCTAATGAACTTTTCTTGTACTGCTCTCTCCATCAGTCAAGCTTTGAGGCCATGTCCCTAGTCATTAAAGACAAGTGTTAGAGCCCATTTTGCTGCTTGTTAATACCTTTAGCACATAAATCCCTTGGAGAATCAGATAAAGGTAGAGGCCTTGGGGGCACCTGGGTGGCTCAGTGGGTTAAGCATCTGCCTTCAGCTCAGGTCATGATCTCAGGGTTCTGGAATCGAGCCCCACATCGGGCTCCCCGCTCAGCAGGAAGCCTGCCTTTCCTTCTCGCACTCCCCCTGCTGTGTACCCCCCCATTGTGTCTCTGTCAAATAAATAAATAAAATGTTTTAAAAAATTAAAAAAAAAAAAAGGTAGAGGCCTTTTGTTCCTGAAAGTTCTCATAAGTACAACTCAAAATCTGTGTGCTATTTCATGGATTGAAGGCTCTGCTGCCGCTCGTCTGTGCCCCACCCCCCGGGGCTGAGAAAGCTGGATCTAAGGGAAGAACTTTGAGACTTTATGAAATGAAATGAAGTGAGAATTCCCTAGAACTTGTACTCTCTCCTAATTGTAATAGGTGCTTTTTATTTCACAGTGGTTATTGTTCTTAATTTAACCTTATTATTGTTATATAAGATGCCTGGAAATGGGGTGTCTTTTTCTTTAGGAGAAGCTAACCTTTTGCCCTGTGACCACAAGAACCTAATAAACACAATTCTTTTTTTTTTTTAAGATTTTATTTATTTATTTGACAGAGAGAGGGAACACAAGCAGCGAGAGGGGCAGAGGGAGCAGCAGGCTCCCCACTGAGCAAGGAGCCCGATGCGGGGCTTGATTCCAGGACCCTGAGATCATGACCAGAGCTGAAGGCAGACGCTTAACCAACTGAGCCACCCAGACACCCCTAAACACCACTCTTTAAATCAGTAGTCCTCAAAGGTGACCATGGGCTAGAATCACCTGGAGAGCTTTAAAAACCATGCTGGGTCCATTCCCCAGGGTTTCTGGTTTCATTGCTCTGGGTTACAGACTGGGCATCAAGATATTGGAGGCTCCCCAGTGATTATAACGTGCTGCAAAGTTTGAGAAGCACTACTTCAAACTGCTCTGGCCTCAGACAGTAGGCAACAAATATAAAAAGCCAGTACCAGTCGCTTCAATCCAATCCTTACACATCATGGCATCTCATTAAGTAATCTTCAGAGAACAAACGAGAACAGATAGTCAGATGAATGAAATGCAGTATTTTCTTCTTATCCAACAGCTAGTGGTATTCCCCCAAAGTGACTAAGCAGCAGTTTGCATGGTTCTACCAAATGGACAAGTCAACAGATTAAATCTTCCCCAAAACAGGACAGGCTGTGACATAGTTGTAATGTTATTTATTTCGATTATATAAGTCTTGTCTGTTTATTATGGAAAATACAGAAAAGTATAAAGAAAACAAAAATGATCTATAATCCTACCACCACCACCCAGAAATAATCATAACATTTTTTATTATTTCAGCCTTTTTAAAATGTATGTTTTGAGAGGGGGTGCCTGACTGGCTAAGTCGGTAGAGCATGCATTTCCTGATCTTGGGGTCATGAGGTTAAGCCCCACTTGGGCATAAAACTCACTTAAAAAAAAAAAACTCAGAAGTAAAACGTGTCTGTGTTTATATATACATATATATATAAACATATATTTATGTTTTTACAAAATCAGTATCACAGTATACATACTGTTTGGTTATTTGCTTTTTATTTATTAATCTCATTAACATCTTTTTTTTTTCATTAACATCTTCTGATAGGATTATAAACTATTCTTGTACAGCCTGACTTCTAATGGCTGCATAATATTAGATCCTACACATTTACCTTTATTCATTCAAACCATCTCTAGATTTTTACTGTTGCAGATAATGCAAGGAATATATTCTTGTAGCTAAATATTTTTGCACATTTCTGTGTATTTCCTTTGGATTAATTCCTCGAAATGAAATATTTTGGTGAGCAGGTATGTATAGTAATCTATAAATTTCATAGGTACTTCCAAACTGACCTCTAGAAAATTCCTACCACCTTTCATTCCCACAGGATCTTATGAGAGGTCATCTGTATTTTGAGAGGAGGACTGGCTTTATTGTTAGGAGTGTGGGCTTTAGAATTTGACATATTTGGAGTCTTGACAAAACCTGACTTGAGGTTTTTACCCTTCCAACACCAGCAGCCTCTTCTGTGTCCCTTCACCTCTCAGGGTTGCTGTAAGAATTAAGCGAGACAAGTGCGTATAGTGGTTATCTTAATTCCTAGCTTGTAACAGCATTAAATAAATGATAGTTTGTTGCTATTATTACAAGAAGTTGAAATCTGAGGGTGCCTGGGTGGCTCGGTCAGTTCAGCATCTGTTTCTTGCTTGTGGCTTAGGTCATGTTCTCAGGCTTGTGAGATTGAGCCCTGCGCTGGGCTTCCTGCTCAGTGGGGGAACGTGCTTGAGATTCTCCCTCTCCCCTTCCCCTTAGAGAGTTCTGCAAACTCTCTGTCTCAAAAGAAAAAAAAAAAGTGTAATCTGCTTTCTTATTATGCTTGCCTAGGTTTGGAGCAGGGGTCCTGGAAGGTTCGAGAGTTAGGAGTATGAACATTTACTTGAAGAGAGAGAGAGAAAGAGCAAGTCGATCAGGCCCCATAATACTGGAAGTCTAGTTCGCGCTTGGTGACAGCTGTGCGCTGGTAGTACCAGTGAAATTAACCCACAGCATGTGAGATACTTTCCCCCCAGTAAATCAGCTCCTCCCGACTGGGAGCCCAGCAATGGCAAACAGATGGGGCAATAAATAAACCCTACCAGGAGAAGCACTGAAGACTCCTTGAGAGACCAACCACCCAGGGCCGGACATGCCTCTCACCTCCGTCAGCTGTCTGAGCCAAGACTTCCAGGCAGGGATACATGCAGTGGGTGGGTTGTTCAGTTTAAGGTCCTTTAGGTGGATTCTGAATCTGTAGTTAATAAAAGACATTTATATTTATAGTACCATAAGATGTTGTATTTACATAAAATGTCAGCATCTTGCAAGAGAAGCACACTGCTGAAGACCAGCAATAATTACTAAGGCCATTTTGATTTGCATGGGAAGATTCAAGTTCTTTTTTTTTTTTTTAATTTACTTATAATCTAAATAGCCTCTGAATTTGGAAGATGGGACAAGGAGGACAGGTTTCTTTTGTATTATCAAAAGAATTTCCTTTTTTTTTTTTAAGGAACTTAAACATTTCTAATTATACCATTACCATTGCAATTTTTTTTAAGATTTTTTTATTTTATTTATTTGACAGAGAGAGAGATCACAAGCAGGCAGAGAGGCAGGCAGAGAAAGGGGGTAAGCAGGCTCCCCACTGAGCAGAAAGCCCGATGCGGGGCTTGATCCCAGGACCCTGAGATCATGACCTGAGCCAAAGGCAGAGGCTTAACCCACTGAGCCACCCAGGCGCCCCTACCATTGCAATTTTTTAAAATGGTTTCAGAGACTTAAATTGTACTTTTTATTTGCTTTTAGCTACTTATTCCTGGCAAGAGTGCTGTGAGATGACTCTCTGGTACTCTTTTGTATATAGAGAGTTTCGTTCCATGTGGTAACCAGCTTGTTCAGGGTCAGGATCAGAGTACACAGCCGTGCACACTGACTAATCCACCTCCCCAAAGAGGAAGAACCAAAAAGGAACTCCTGCCAATCTCAGCACGATTGATAGTTGGTTTCCTGATGCTGCTTCTGCCTAGAAACAGATCGCATGCATCACAGAAGCATGCTTGTGTAATTAGCAACACTACCGTGCATTTAAAGAGCCTAGTCCCTCTGAAGACCTAAAATAACTTCGTAACTAGCTTCTTCTTTTTTTTTTTCAATTCTTTTTCTAAATGGCATTTATTCCTATCATATCATATCACAGTAATTCAGTAGCTAATTAAGAGGATTATAAAATGTTTTTAAAAGGATATAGTTGTCAGTATAAACAGATTATAACCTGTTCTCAACCTAACCGTATCATCTCTAATCTCAATACAACCAAAGCCAAGACAGCCATTTAGCTATCGATATCAACATGTGTACGTATGTGCAGTTCTGTGTTTATCTGTACTTATTCCTTGCTTGGCTAAATCTCCTAGAAAGTTTCCATTATTTCTCCATAAGCTCTAATTATTGGGCATACATCCAGCAGGTGCTCAATAACTGCACATTGGCAGTGACATGATAATAGTAATGTAGGATGTAAGATACTGCACTAAATGTTGTCTTTTTTTTTTTTTTTTTTTTCTGTCCCAGGCCCTCTCCCACCACCCCCTCCAATAAGCAGAAATGGCAGCACATCTCGGGCCCTGCCTGCCACCCCCCAGTTGCCTTCCAGGAGTGGAATAGATAGTCCCAGGACTGGACCCAGGCCTCCTCTTCCTCCTGACAGGCCTGGCGCCGGGGCACCTCCCCCACCTCCACCATCAACATTGATTAGGAATGGCTTCCAAGACTCTTCAGGAGAAGGTGAGGTGGGGTCTATCCTCTGGGGAAGGGACCTTGGGAATATTTTCAAGCTACAGGGCACCCACTAAATGGTAAATTTGTGTGCGTTGTGTGTTTGCATTAACATTTCTTGTTTCTATGACCCTCAAACACTGCACTGCTCTGATCTAAGTATCTATCCATTAGAGACTGCCATGATTTCAAATTCAAAGTAGTAATCCCACCTCCTACATTTTTCAAAAAGGCTGATTGTTTTCCTCTCTCACTGTTGGAGTCTCATTTTAGTTAACTTTCTAGAAGATTCCAGAACCCTAAAAAAATGTCATTTTTGTCGTTTATCTTCTTATTACCTACCTTACCTGCCTTTCTCAACAGTTTGCTGGGGCAAGAGGCCTGATGATCTACAGGTATTAAGCGGCTTTCCTCTGCCTTTTTTTATGAGAGGGTCCAGTTATTCCTGGGCCCATTGGTGGGAAGAAAGGTATCTCAGACTTTAGCCCCCAGGTCCTAAGAGGGACCGGCTGAGTCCTAATCACGCTAGTTCAAGTCACTTAGATCTGTCTTTGCTTTGATTCGCAGACCAGCGTATTTCACTGATGCGCTGATCAGTGACATTTGTTGCATTTCTGGGTTTTCTCTAAACTTCTAGGCATAAAACTAGAAGTGCTCTCTGCAGCTCTCTGTGTCCTTTCATTATGTAAGTCTTCATAGCAGATTGTTACTGAAGATGCTGTTTGTTTCTCTCCCTCAGATGAGTGGGAAAGCAGATTCTACTTCCATCCCATTTCTGACTTGCCGCCTCCAGAGCCATATGTACCAACAGCCAAAAGTTATCCCAGTAAACTGGCAAGAAGTGAATCCCGGAGTGAGTATTTCTGCAAGGGCTTCAGGTGGCTTCATTCTTCTACAGCCTGGGTTGTATACGAGAGAGGGTTATATAGGAAATCCAGGCCTCCTGCCTGGAGTGGGACAGACAACCCCATATGGAGCCATCTAAATTCTGGTTAACTGTCCTTCCACAAGTGATGAGGAAAATGGGGATACCCAGAATATATATGAGAAACGATTACTTTAACGTGTCATCACAAGCTCAATGTAACTTTGCTTTGTTATTAGGTTAAATTGTATTGCTTTGCTCGTTCGGACAGACTTCCCCATTTTGGCATTCCTGAGATAGGACAAATGTCTTCTACTTGTTTTGAGACTAGTCTGATGTCTTAATAATTATAACAAAAACTCACTGCAACTGCCTTGATATTTTAGATACATTATGATCAGGGGCACCTGGCTGGGTCAATCAGTGGAACAGGCGACTCTGGATCTCAGGGTTGTGAGTTTGAGCCCCACCTAGAGTGTAGACATTACTTAAAAAAATAAAATATTAAAATAATAATAATAAAGTCATAAATATATGATGATTATAGATTTTAGAGCATTACATGAAAATTTTAAATATACCCATAATCTCTCCATATAATCTCCATAAAATCACCACATATATTCATTTTACCAGGTTCTCTGCTCATTTTTAATCCATATAATTCTTATTGACTTATCATTATTAAGTATAGAGTGTACTTTCTTGGTGGTGGGTTTTACATAACTTTGCTTAGTAAAATACCTTCCCATTTTATCACATGATTTTTATTTTATAGTATCCCATCAAGTCGACATACAGTGATTTAGTTTACCATTATTGGACATTTAGATTTTTTTCTGGGTTTTGCTAAAATATATAATGCAACCATAAAGAAGCGAATCACTTTTCCTCTATATTGAAACAAAAATGGGAACAAGAAGAGGAAATAGAGAAACTGAAATTTCATGACAATAAGTGGTTAGAACAAAGAAAAATTTGGCACAAAACACACATAGATCACTGAGGAGGCTCAGACTTGTAACAGCTTTAAATTTAGAACCAAATTCCCAAACCAGAAATGGGGGGGGGGGTTTGCACATGTCAGGTAACTGTTCCTAGCCTTGTCCTCACTCCTTAGGCAGAGCTCCGTACACCTACTCAAGAGTCTCCTGACTCTGTATCACCCAGTTCTTCAGTCCTTTGTGGCTGGATGTTTCCTAGCCATAGAGCATAGAATCATAGCTGCTTCAGTTAAGGCTGGTGATAAGCAAAATTAGTGGCTTCAGGGAGATGTGACAGGTGGCAGTCTCAGGTCAAAGAGACAGGGATACGGGACTGTACTCTGTATCACAGCACGGGACAACACAGGAGTTTCTGTTGGGCTGTGAGGACCAGGTCACATTGTGCTCTGTGCCACTCCTGAAGAATTCAGAACATTAGAAGATGTTTTAAGAAAAATTTCCACAAACAAATGCCAGAAGGAAACAGAGTATTGCTGCTTGAAAGGAAAAGGGATAAGTTTAATTTCTAGAGAAACTCATTTATGTAAAATACTCCATTTCTAGACAATGGCTGATAAAAAAAAAAAGGTATAACTATAATAAGGTTATACAAGAGTGAAAAGTAAGTCTTCACATGGGACAGATAACTTTGAGGGTGTGTGTGCGTGTGTGTGTGTGTGTGTGTGTGTGTGATGAAGAGGGGCTTCTGTCTCTTCCTTTTTGGGCACTAACAAACGAATTCACTTTAAGGACTTGTTCATATGGACTCTAAATATTTTTCCTGGTTTCTTATAAGCATTCTTAATCTATTGTAAGTACTCTTTGCATATTTAAATCAGTAACAGAACCATCCCCCCTCCTCTAGATTTTTAACTTCATAGCTGAACAGATTCCCTTCCCCACCCTGCTGTCTCTGAGACTAAAGGCAACTCGAGGACAGGAACTGTCCTCTCACTACTCCATCTTCCTCAGGTGGCCCCAAGCCTGAAATATGGTGGGCATTTAAATATATTTCTGAAACTGATGAATTAATGTCCACTGTACCCAAAAATGTTTTTGTAGACTTGCTTTAAATATTTCTAGCACTCTGTGTGTTTAATAGATCATCTCTGTAACAAAACTAAAGCACTGTCGAGTGATTTTGCTCTGCTCCTGTAGCTGCCTGGGCCTCTGGGTGGGGCACCCGCCTGGCAGGGCCCCCAGGCAGCCCCAGGCCCTGCTGTCTCACTGCAGCTCTGCATGGGGCAGCCTGCATGGTATGTCAGCCATGGTCAAGGCCCCACAACACATGACTGGTTTCTATCCAGATGCGTCTCTCTTTAGGTGTGGGACCCAGAAAAGACACGGTTGGGGTGGCAAGAGGAAGAGGCAAGGTAACAAGCTGACCGTGTCTTCCTCTAACTCCTCCCCTTGCTCAGAGCTTTTGTTCTGTCTCAGAAATCCCTGTTGGGATGCCTCCTGAAGAATCTGTCAGTGCCAGCCCACTTCTGAGTTCCCCCAGAGCAGCAGCCACAATGGACCCACTCAGCTGACATGTGTCCCTGCTAGATCTGCTCACAGTGTCTGAGCACCCGGCTTCATGCCTAAAACCTGTTAGAGCCTCAAAAGAAATGATGTGGGGCAAATGAATTTAAAAAACTGTGAATGGATTTTTAAACCCAGTACTCATACCCATGAATATGCGTAGTTTTTAAAAGAATACTATCAACAGAGCAGAGAGACAACTACGAAATGGAATAAAATATTTGCAAGTCATATATCTGATCAAAAAGTTATATCCAGAATATATAAAGAATTCCTGTGACTCAACAACAAAAACCCAATTTTTAAAATGGGTTGATTACTTGCATAGATGTTTCTCTGAGGAAGATATCCATATTGCCAAAAAAGCACATGAAAAGATGCTCGCTATCACTAATCATTAAAGGAATACACACAGAACCACAGTGAAATACAGCATCACAGCCATTAGGACGGTTACTCTCAAAAAAGCATTGTTGAGAAATTAGAAGATACCTAAATGTCCAACAAAAAGGAATTGATCAGATAAATACAGCATACTTACATAATAGAATATGTGTTATTTATAATTTTATGTATCAACAATAACAGCTCTGAAAAATGTTCAGACCGACAATATATGATCCTATTTGGGGAAGAAAAAAGAGAGCTGTTTATATATAGAAGATAAGTGGAAAGTATTTACATCATGTTATTGGTTATCTCTGGGTGGTACAGGCATTGGTGAGTTTCTGTTTTGTTTTAGCTCATCCATATTTTTTTAAAAAGATTTATTTATTTGACAGACAGAGATCACAAGTAGGCAGAGGCAGGCAGAGAGAGAGGGAGGGAAGCAGGCTCCCCGCTGAGCAGAGAGCCCGATGCAGGGCTTGATCCCAAGATCCTGAGATCATGACCAGAGCTGAAGGCAGAGGCTTTAACCCACTAAGCCACCCAGGCACCGCCCCCCATCCATATTTTCTAAATCTGTAATAAACACATACCATGTGGTAAGAAGAAAACTATTTTTTTTTTAATTTTCTTAACTTTGGGTAAGTACTTGGGAGCCAGTGGTGGGTCATCCGTCTCTAGAAATGTTCAGTCACATCCTTCCTCGCTTGCCTTCATTTCTTACTTCTCACCCACGTGTGCCTGTTCTTCACAGCCTTGGTCATAGAGGGTGACAGAGTGGGTACTTTTGTGATCATCCTTTAGTTTGTACAGTGAGGTCATAAGCTTTCTAACCAAAATTTATATTTTGTCTATTTTTTCATCAAGGTGGATCCAACCGAAGAGAAAGGGGTGCCCCACCACTTCCTCCCATCCCAAGGTGATCTTTGCCTGCTCTTCTCCAGCCGAGCCCAAGAGCTCCTTCTGTTGTTGTTCTCCAAGGGTGCAAAACCCTCCTCCCCTTGTCTTCACTTGTCCCCTTCATACTGGCTGTAGGGAAAGGGAGGGTGATGTGGGAATATGTGTGCGGGGGGTGGGAATGCAGTAAAGAAACGCACCTAGCTTTTTATATTGTGTATATTCTCAAAGCTCTTGCTTGCTTCAGCTACAGCCTGCCAGTGCTGGCTGCTTAGGGGTCAGGAGGCTTTTGTGGCAAGGTGGCAGACATGCATTGTGTCCTAGCTTTCAACCAACCAAGTTCAAACATTCAGTGCTAATTTGCTACAGACTCTAACATTAAAGTCCCTGAGAGCTATTTGCTTCCATGACTTTTTTGCATGCTTGGCTTTCTGTCTGATTCCAGAAACCACAGTCCACCTAAGCAAGTTGCGGCACTCAGGGCTCACATAAAATTTTTCAGTTACAGGATGTCCAATCTTTGGCAGTCTGAGATAAGCTCTAGGACAGAGCTGTCCAATAGAAATACAATGTGAGCCACATATAACGGTGTTTGAATTTCTAGTAGCTACCTTAAAAAAGGAAAATAGGTGAAATTAATTTTAATATATTTTATTTAACCCTAATACCCAAATTATTACCATTTCAACCTGCAATCAGTATAACAATTATTAATGAGCTATTTCACATTCTGTTTTGGTACCAAGTCTTCAAAATCCCATGCGTATCCTACGTTGATTGAGAGCACATTCCCCATTCAGACTAGTCGCATCTCAAGGGCTCAACAGCCCTGTGTGGCCGGTGGCTACCATGTTTGGGCAGTACAGGTCTAGAAGATGCGGACTAGTGCAAAATCTCTTGTTTCAAAAACAAAAAAAGGCAAGATGAATTTTAGCGATTCAAAAAGTAACTAAAAATCAAGTTAGGACCAAACACCTTGTTCAACAGATAGCTTGACCTTTGATTTTGTTCCCCTATTTCCCGTCTTTCCTTGATGTGTATATCTAGGTGCTGCTTCACAGTACCAAGGTCAGAAATTGATCTAACAGGGTTTACAGTCATGTGGAATAAAGCCATTAGAAGGAAACTGAAAGCCAGCCAAGGCTTGGGGACTCAGAGCCCGCTGCCTTGAGCTAACTGTCCATTGGACCCCTGCCTTGCCTTCATTTCCTCTGCTGCCCAAATGCATCTCTGAGCGGGGGAGGCTCGCAGGCTCTGTAACTGTGGGGGAAAGTTAGGAAAAGGTAGCCAATTGGAAACGTGGAAGAAGGAAGCAGGTTTGAGTTGATGGACAAAACTCTAAATGTCTAAATCTGATGTTTAAGGGGGTTGAGAGAGATTGCTACTACAAATTGAAGAGAATTTGTCTTGACTCCATTGGGAGAATGCCTTGGATCTATGCAAATCAAGCTCCGTGAAAGGACCATAGGAATGAGCCAGGCTTGCCCTTTTTTTGTATGATTTTGTTTACAAAACTTTACTGGGACTTTTAAATCTAGCTATAGATTTGGGGGGAAATTTTTCCATTTTATATGGTTTTATATGGTTGATTATGTTTAAAATTACCATTACTTATTTTTTAAAAGCACACAGCCACATATGTATATGTATACTTAAACTTTGTGTCATGGTTTCAGTGTATTGTTCATGGATTACCAGGAGATGCTAATAAGAAATCAATCCAAAGAAAAATTTGAAAGAAGGATTCCTATTTATAGAATAAATAATTGTTTCATTTATATAAAAGCAAAAGAACTTAGAGTTCTAATAAATGGGATAGCTAATAAATTATGAAGTTGCCCATTTGGATATATTGTATTTTTATAACTTTCCTTGCCAAAGTCCTGGGCTTAGTATGTTAGAGAACTTGGTTTTTCCCCCTCTCCTCTACCATTCATCTGTCTTTCATATAGTTATTTGGGGCCCTTTGCCCAAAGGGAATCAAGAAATATAAAGGTATAACAAACTTGGCTAAGTATTTTCCAAAAAGAATGTTTCAGGTTTTATAGCAGCATCATTTTATTTGGGATGTTTTGAGCAGATATGAATGGTTGTTACAAATCGCTATGATAAAGCCTAACAAGCCACCTCACAAAAGATACGATCTGGCCTTCCTAGCAAATGATGGCAGGGAAGTCTCATCCAAGGAATTTGGATCTGAATTTTGTGAGGGCTAGTAAGCATGGCCAGTTTCTTTGTACATCCCAGCTTTGTAGGTATCATCCTAAAGTCTGAAACAGTCATAGCTCAAAGTTGCTCTTCAGGAGAGAGAAGTTTTAGGATGTATTTAAGTCAGTGTTTCATTAATACACCTATACCCTTTCTTTGAAAGTTGGCAACCTAATTGCATCCAAAACTGAATAATCTCTATGCTAAAATCTTCAACTATGGCAAATCACAAAAATGAATATTTTCTTCCTGAAATCAGGGCTTACATTTGGGGTTTTTTTCCATAATATTTCTAGATAAATGTATTCAAGATGCAATACAGTATTTTAATATTCACATATCATTTTATATTGAAATGTGTTACAGTATTAAAATTCAGTGTTCCATATTTATTTCACTATGCATTTTATTTAGTAGAAACCAAGAGAAATGTTTAATCCAATGGTGCCTTACTTTGTGATTTGAAAGAAATCGACTTTTTATGTCTAAGCAGCAGATTATTTGCATATTTGTAAAAACTTAGGCCTTTATATTTTAACTTGTAATACCAATTTTGTTATTTTAGTAGCAGAAATGGGATGGTTGTTAAAGCGCCCAACATTTTTTGCCACAAAATTAATTTTTCCCTGTTTGTAGTCAGGGACGGTAAAAGAAAACAAATGTTTTTCATACCACTGCACTATGTAAACATGCACATTTTGGAATCTATATCATCAGGACAGTTTAAATGGTGGGGTAGAGACTACCCTAGACATCTGTGTCTTTGTAAGTTAGCCAGACAATAAATAAAAGCAGAGTGATAAGAGTGTCAACTGGTGGTTTTTATTTAAGTATTGTCTAGTAAATGCAAATGAAAAGGCAAGTGTCTGTTTTCTGTTTTCTACTCTGGTAAAGAAAGACAAGCTCTGGGGAACCTGGGTGGCTCAGTGGGTTAAGCCTCTGCCTTCGGCTCAGGTCATGATCCCAGGGTCCTGGGATGGAGCCCCACATCAGGCTCTCTGCTCGGCAGGGAGCCTGCTTCCTCCCCTCTCTCCGCCTGCCTCTCTGCCTACTTGTGATCTCTGTCTGTCAAATAAATAAATAAAATCTTAAAAAAAAAAAAAGAAAGAAGGAAAGACAAGCTCACAGCAAAGAAAAAGAGGAGGAGGTGGCAGCAATCCAGTGAGGGTTCCTCACACCCACTTTCTAGTCCCTTATTTGTTTTTCCTGAGAACCTGCGTCCTAGTCAGAGTCTGCTGTTTCCCTCAGGCAGATGCTTCTACTCTAAGGTAAAGATGGATGGTGGGAACAATGGGCAAGAAAACTTCCAGGATGAGCACTGACACTGATAAATACAGGAAAGGCCAATGGGAATTTAGGAGGCCTGATAATTTTTTAAATGATCTGCTGTGCATGCTGGAATGTGTACATATCTTTTTTTTTTAAGATTTTATTTATTTATTTGATAGAGATCACAAGTAGGCAGAGAGGCAGGCAGAGAGAGAGAGAAACAGGCTCCCCACTGAGCAGAGAGCCCGATGCGGGGATTGATACAAGGACCCAGGACCCTAGGATCATGACCTGAGCTGAAGGCAGAGGCTTTAAACCACTGAGCCACCCAGGCGCCCCCGTATACATATCTTAATACAGCATACCGGTTAAGAGATTAGGAAGACCTGCCCCCACCTCTTACCAAGTTGCCAACTTCTCTGAGCTTCAGCTTCCTTATCTGCAAGGTAAGTAACTATCTCACAACATTAACAAATGCATTAAATGAGATAATGCAACAAATGGCCAACAGACATGTGAAAATTGCTCCACATCACTCGGCATCAGGGAAACAGAAATCAAAACCACAGTGAGATGCCACCTCACACCCATCAGAATGGCTGAAATTAACCAGTCAGGAAATGACAGGTGCCAGTGAGGTTGTGGAGAAAGGGGAACCCTCCTACACTGTTGGTGGGAATGCAAGCTGGTGCAGCCACACTGAAACAGTATGAAGGTTCCTCATAAAGGTGAAAATAGAGCTACCCTACAACCCAGCAATCGCACTACTGGGTATTTACCCTAAAGATACAAATGTAGTGATTTGAAGGGGCACGTGCACCCCAATGTTCATAGCAGCAATGTCCACAACAGGCAAACTATGGAAAAAGCCCAGATACCCATCGACAGATGAATGGATAAAGAAGATGTGGTATGCAGATACAATGGAATACTACCCAGCGATCAAAAAAAAATAAAAATTAAAATTAAAAAAAACTTGCCATTTGCAATGATGTGGGTGGAACTAGAGCGTATTACACTAAGCAAAATAAGTCAATCAGAGAAAGACAATTATCATATGATCTCACTCATATGTGGATCATAGGGGAAAGGAGGGAAAAATAAAACAAGATGAAATCAGAGAGGAAGACAAACCAGAAGAGGCTCTTAATCACAGCAAACAAACTGAGGTTGGCTGGAGAGTGGGGAGAGGGATGGGGTAACTGGGTGATGGACATTAAGGAGGGCACGTGATGTAATGAGGACTGGGTATTATATAAGGCTGATGCATCACTGACCTCTACCTCTGAAACTAGTAATACATTTTGTGTTCATTAACTGAATTTAAGTTTTTTAAAAATGAGATCATGCACTCAGTATTTAGCCTGACTTACTGTAGCTCTCAATAAGTGATAGCCAATCTGAGTAAAAGCAGGAAACATATTTATCTAATGATCCCAGATTAACTGGAGCCAAACTGACCGGAAGGGAATTTCCTAGTGTACTTGTAGAGGAACGAAGCAACAGCAGTCAGGCTCTCCGTACCAGAAATGCAAAGCAACCTCCACACAAAGGTCACCTCACATGATGTCAGTCCCTTATACCTCGTAGGTCTGGAAAATGAAAATTCGTGCTGCTTTAGTCGTCAGAGAATTATTAGATTCCACTTGAAATCACAAAAAGTAAGACCTGGAAAGAACCTTCTATATAGGGCCACTAATAATTATTGCTTTGGCACAATGGTGCAAATCGGAGCAAACTGGGCTGGGTCACCCCACTGGCAGGTCACCTAGACCCACGTCCTGGTCTGACAGATGAGTAATGTAAGACCGCAAGTCACAGAGCACCGACAAACAAGCAGCATGCTGGTCACCTCACCACACTCCCTTCTTGACAATCCTTTCCACCTCTAGCACAAGTCTTGGCTTCCTTTGTCTTTCCCATTTGGTACAACTGAATTACGACAGTCTTAGTAATAAAAATTGCTTTCAAAACTGGCCTCATTTGTTCAAACTGGAGTCATTTGTCTCATTCATCCATTCAATAAATTTTTATTGAGCAGTTACCACACCACACCTCACCACAATCAAACCAGTGCCCCCCCCACCTCTGTCAAACAGTCTCTAGGTGGCAGTTAAGGACTCAGCCCCCTGCTCCCACCAGGCACAGTGCCCAAGTGACAGAGAGCTTTCTATTAAGAAGGGAAAGGGAATATGTTAGAATCCACCCCCCACTTGAGGAATTATTTGGTTTGTTTTTATTCTTTTATCTCAATGGGAGAATTAAATTGCCTTTTTTCCCTAGGGGCACGTGGGTGGCTCAGTCGCTAAGCATCTGCCTTCCGCTCAGGTCATGATCCCAGGGTCCTGGGATTGAGCCCCACATCAGGCTCTTGGCTAAGCAGAGAGTCTGCTTCTCTCTCTCGCTCTCTCTCTCTCTCATAAATAAAAAAATCTTAAAAAATTTTTTAAACCTACATGAAAACTGGGGGCAGAGGAGTATTTAGAAAAAGTTTTGATGGCCAATAAATAATGTTTTTTTGGTTTTTTAATGTGTAAAATAAACTCAAGGATTCCCCATTTCCTGACATCCCAAATCTAACTGAAGGCTTCTTGGGACACATGATTTAGAGTGGCCCCTTCTCTCTGTCTTCCTCACAGCCTCGCTTCCTTGCACTCTGAGACCTTGATCCTCTGTGTCTGTCTCTAGAGCTACGGTCAGCTGCAGGTTTCCCCCACTACCCAAAAGCAGAGCACGCCTATGAAAACTTTCCTAAGCCGAAATGGCCTAAAGCAAAGAAACAATTACCAGTAACTTATCTGGAAAAATATTAAGCATTCTCAGACCCCAAAAATAACCTCTCTTAGGCTTTTCCGGTACCTGAGGACACTTCTTGCTAATGGCTGCACAAAATAAATGGCGATGAAACACAAATGCTCTCAGACACAGTTGTAAGCTCCAGTGGCTTGCTGCTGAGATGCGGAGTGTGGTTCCAGGAGAAGGAGCTTGGCGGGGCCACTCTCACTGTTTTGGGGTGTGCACTGCTTTTGCAACGGATTGCAGCAAAACAAACACAGACTGCTATTTTCACATTTTGCCCTTTTTTTCCTAAAAGCAAAAATCTTCAGATTTCTTTTGGTTAACAAAAACAGGTAGTAATGTAGTTCTTTCGTAAAAGTGAAGTGGTCTAATGCAAATTTCTGGAAATCGGGAGATGTCTGTATATGTTTCTCTTACTGGTAAGTGTTTGGAAATGCCCCGTCCATCAACATTCTCTCACAAATTCCTTAGTCTTAAAATTCTGCTCCTAATATTCCAGAGCCACATTTACAGGTAGCCAACGGAGCTCAAGCTTTGGGACCTCCACTTACGAGGATCCCTTCCAATAAGTACTCATTTTTACATCAAAGTTTATGTTATTTAGGATTTTATATTAACTTCCTTAATGTAGCACCTAAATTGTCTAAAGCTTCAAGCCCCACGTAATCTGTCCTTGTAGGGCGCCTGGATGGCTCAAATGGTTACACATCTGCCTTTGGCTCAGGTCATGATCCCAGGGTCCTGGGATGGAGTCACACAGCCCCACCTCGGGCTCCCTGCTCGGGGCGGCGGGGGCGGGGGGGGGGCGGAGTCTGCTTCTCTCTCTGCCCCTCCCCACCTCCGCTCATGCATGCGTGCTCTCTCTCTCTCTCTCATGCACAAGTATATAAATAAATGTTTTTTAAGAAAAATAAAACGGGTCCTTGTATTATTGCCCTTCCCAGCTTCTGATACAGAAACCAACCACAGTAGGTATCTTAAAAACTTTCTTAAGCCACCAGCTTTCTGTAAGAATGACAGGAGAGTCCCAGACCAATATAAGACAGCAGAAGTGTTTGCTCTTTTGTACTCCCAGAGTGGCCTACAGACAGTTCTAAAATAATTCAGTTCAGTCACTACACTGCCCACATTGTGTTAGCATCGGTTAAAGGCCCCACAGTGTGACCTACCCAGATAACATGTCTGACCCCTGAGGGGCCTGGGAAACAAGTCTGGATGTTATTAGACATCAAGCTCAAATTTAGCTTAAATCTTGACCAGGAAGATTCCTGCCAGAACACCTGACATATCCATCAACATAAATGTGTTTTAGTCATGAGAAACTCCCACCCTTTTCCTGTTTTCTGTCTCCAAGCAATTGAGTAAGTTAAAGGTCACCTGTCAAAATATAATCTATTTAAGATAGGTACCTGAAACAAACAGCAGCAGACGACTGGGAAAAGCTAATGCTTTATGGAGCTATTGTATTCCCAAGGTTCATTTTTACATTTATTCATTCAAGTAATCAAAAAACACTGAGTAACTACAATTTATTAGCCATTGTAAATATGAAAATACATATTATACAATAGGAAGTACTAGTCCTAGAACCAAGGGTCTGGGTTCTAGATCTAATAAGAACTTCAGCCAGTAGGCACAACCCCGCTCTGCCACTGGTTCTAGAATGCTCCCCACCACCAACACAGACTGGTTGGCTGTGTATATGAAATGAAAATTCTCGGGGCACCTGGGTGGCTCAGTGGGT